TCGAGGAGAGCGAGAGGAGTTCTTTAGAAAGCACGGGATGAAGCGGACAACCGGATGCTCGCGCTACAGGCCCCAGAAATGGATAGATTCGGGTGTTAAACGCGCCAAGAGCAGATACGGCCAGACAGACAGCTGGAAGTTGGGAGGATGTAGAGAGATTAAGTTAATATGTGTATGTATATGTGTGGGTGTGAACGGGGGATGTCTGAATTAAAATTCATGACTCTCTTCACAACCATTTGAGTAACAAGATTAAGATGGCCGAGTAGAAAATAGCTGCATTATCAGGCGGCTTGCAGTCCTCCAGCTGCTGGTGCTCTATTCCAGAACAGTGGGGATAAGAGGATAACACACAGCCCCCTCGCCACGTCCCCACACCGCTGAGAGCCCCATCCGCGGCCGGCCTGCACACGCGGGAGGGAAGGAGGGAGGAGATTTAGGGTCTTAAAGGAAACACTTCAATCTCCAAGACATCAGAGGCTGGCTGGAGGTGAGGAGTGACAGACGACCGTAGGTATAAGTCCGGGAGGGGCCCGTAGACGCTGCTATAATAGAAGACTGTGATTTGGGATTCTGAAGGAGGTGGGGCATATGATCTATTGTCTGCCGCGCGTTTCTTTGTGCGCTTCGTTCCTTACGTTCTCACCCAGCGCACACTCGCAGGGGGCAGGGTGTTCATCAGAAGATAAGAAAGAGGAATTAATCACTTTGAGATATGATGAGGGCACTTCAGCTCGCCCCTCGTATCACACACACAGCTGACGGCAAACCGAGAGTAAAGACACACGCACACGGGCGCGAACAGCGGGACTCTTGACTCAGCTATCTCGGCCCCTTGCTGCTCATGTCATTATCCGCGCAGAAACACAGCAGGTGGTCGGGCTCAAAAAGATCCTGTTAGACTTCAGGTGCATCGGGGCAACACAAGGAAAAGGTGAATGCATTAGCTAGGTGTGTGTGTGCTAATGGGCAAGAGTGGTACCGTTTGGGCTCATCTGGACAATACTTAAAGGCGCTGTGCGCGATTTCACACATTTCGCTCACTTCCAACACTGAATACATTCGCTGCCTGTAGTATCAGCCATGTGGCCTCTCTGCAAAACGGTTCACAGGTAGAGAGGATTTCTGGTTGGCTACAAATAAAATCACAGCTCGCTCACCTAAAAGCTGGAACACACTATACTAATTGGAATAGATTTTAAAACGAGGCATCATTTGCTTGCCAACTTTGTAAATGGTTACAGATAAAAACTACGCATCATACACTAAACGACACTACAGATTTTCCAAAGTCATTCCAAACACAACAAACTTACACAGAAGCATGTGCCTTGTTGCTAGTAGACACGTTAAAAAAATACGGAAACAATATGTTTTCTAAAATAGGTTCAATATATCAAACATAATCATAGTCTGAAACTAGAAAAGAGTACACTACTCGATTTTTTGTGAAATCTGTCAATTCCGACTGCCCAAAATCTGCAGACTGGCTCTGACTTTTGACAATGTGTGTTGACCAAAATCTGTACAAATCTGAATTCAAAAAGAAATGACTCTTTCTAATGATTATGCATCAAAGTGGTGGTTGTTATGCATTTAAGTGTTTCGCTAGATAAGAAGAACATTGTAAGAAAAAATCATCGAAAAATGGAAGAGATATTGGTAATTTTCTGCCAGGACATTATCCGTTACAAACATTTATTTTCACCCTATGCGTAAATCCAAATATGGGTAAAACACGTAAAAAATCAGTAAGGAAAGTTTCTTCATATTAACACAGTACATCGGGCCGTATTTTTATGGACTTTGTGTAAGGGCTTAAAACTTTCCACTTTAGCTGCTGTATTAGGCCTGTTCATGCTTATTAAGGGAAAATTAAGAAAAAAACCCCACTTCTTTTTCCGCTCTAGGGCTTCTATGTACACCATAATTCTGCATTTCTCTTTCTCTCTCCTTCTGTCCTCTCGATTGACGGCTCTAAATTCAAACACTCTTTCCTCGGTAGCCACAATGACCCCTCAGCGTTTTTCTGCCCAGCCATGTCCATCACTTCAGAAATAAAGTGAGAGGTCAGAGGTCAGAATTTGTTTTGCTAAATCAATCTTCTCCCATATTGCTCTAATAATAATAATAATAATTATTATTATTATATAAAAATTGTAGTATAATATATTATAAAAAATGTTAATATTATTGATAATATAATTAATAAATAATTAACAATTATCAAATGTATTATTATTATTATTATGAATATCATTATTAAAATACTGTTATAAACACTGATTCCCCTAAAAAGTCAAAACACTGTGACTCCCATCTGCTTGAAAAACAATGAAAGGCAGGGTGGGGTAGTATGGTTTTTTGGACACCTGTTTGAATACAAAATCCTTCTCTTGTAAACAAAACTGCAAAAAACATATGGCTATAAATGGCCTAGTAAATTACCAAATAAAGAACATTTTAGCAAGCGGATTTTAATCCCTCAAATGAAAAATTGTGGTAGACTGGTAAGCTTTTAGTGTGGGGGTTGAGCTCTTTTCTCCATCCGGCCCAGCTCATCTTCACTGCGTCTCAAAGCGGTTTGCATCATTACATTCTATTTGATTTCTCCCAGGTATTATATTAGATAATAAACAAAAAGATTAAGGGCAGGGCTGCCACTGTTAGGCCTGTGGGGTATAATGGGTCCTCACAGCTTCTTCGGTAACCAAAAACGGCAGCCGTGGCTGTGCTATCGGTGCCAGTTAACCAGCTGGACGGCACTGCTGCTTTGACCTGGGTACGGTATTTGTGCTTTCAGGCAGGGGGAAAGGAGTTGCACCCTGTCCAATTCATTTAGAGTTTCTCAGAAAGACAGCTTTTAAGTTCTAAGAGTCCATTTAGAGCTTAAGCTTTCAGACTCCCTGTTCCTGTTCCTGCTGACATAGCATACTGTACTTCAGTGAAACATTCAAAATACAAATTTAGAGCACAGACAAAGGCGGAAGCAAATGCAGTCGCACTTAAAACTTTGATTCTCAACTTTCTGACACTTTAAAACATTTACACACACTTACATATACAATACACACCTTCAGGTGAAGGTCCCACAAGTGTGAGTCGTAGTTGTCATAGCGACACACTCTCAACCCAGACAAAACCAGGCAAGCTAAGAGGATTACCCAAAGGTTCAAAGTTTCTTTGAAATCCTTCGGTATTAAATATTATTTCATATTTTGTTCATATTATTGCTTTAATTAAATGAGCAACAACACAAATGAAACAAACAACTACTAATATGAGAACAGGCTCATCTCAATACAACAGATGCTTTCATTTTTTCATAAGCTCCACGCAGAACGTACGCCGAAAGCGCACACATACACAAACGAGCATATCTACAGATGTGTTAATCAGCTGTGTATGCTGGCCGGATGCTCTGCTGGCATTTTAGAATAACAAATTAGAGTCATTAGGAGGAAAATTAATTGGTTTCAATAAATTAGCTCAAACATTTGGTCAGAAGGCTATGGGGAAAATCACAACAATAAATCTGTTTTACCCCTTCTCGACTCAACAATGAGCCAGGAAAACAAAATATTTTCATTTATTGAATAAGTAATTATTTTTCACACATTATTATTACCTGACTAGGAGAATTAATATTTTAATAAAACAGTTTTAACAATTACTAACAGCTTTCAACTTTTTCCCCCCCCCTTTTTTTTTAATATGGAGGTCACATTAAAACGTGTATTGGAAACTTTTACTATGCTTTCAATTTATTGCTGCAATCTTGCTGCCAAATGCTTTGTGTATATGGATTTTGTGTTATCCATAAAATATGCAAATCTTAAAATTTATAATAATAAAAAATATTTGTATTTTTTTAATATAAATATAAAAATATATATTATATAAAAACTACACATTTTTAATAAGCTAAACAAAGAGTGAAAAAATATATTACAATATTGTTTAGAAATGAAGTTATGTGTTTACTAACTACGTATAGCATCATTTCCACAAAAAATGTGGCCCTATTTTTTAGTGTACATAATTACCGAAGAGACATAAGCAAAGACTGTGCTTAATATAAAATATGAAATGCGTAAAAAATAAAAATCAATTTTATATAAAAAATCTATCTATCTGTCTGTCTGTCTGTCTATCTATCTATCCATCTATCTATCATTTTTTATTACCATGACCATTATTTTCATTGGAAAAGACAAATTTTCCTGTAATGTATGCATGTCCAATTTTTTACACTAAACAAATTAAATAAACTAAATTTAGTTGATCAAGATTACTTGAAAAACACCCAAATACAATGCTTTTTTTTTACCATCCCTAACATACACCATTAAAACGTGTATTGGAAACTTTTACTATGCTTTCAATTTATTGCTGCAATCTTGCTGCCAAATGCTTTGTGTATATGGATTTTGTGTTAGCCATAAAATATGCAAATCTTAAAATTTATAATAATAAAAAATATTTGTATTTTTTTAATATAAATATAAAAATATATATTATATAAAAACTACACATTTTTAATAAGCTAAACAAAGAGTGAAAAAATATATTACAATATTGTTTAGAAATGAAGTTATGTGTTTACTAACTACGTATAGCATCATTTCCACAAAAAATGTGGCCCTATTTTTTAGTGTACATAATTACCGAAGAGACATAAGCAAAGACTGTGCTTAATATAAAATATGAAATGCGTAAAAAATAAAAATCAATTTTATATAAAAAATCTATCTATCTGTCTGTCTGTCTGTCTATCTATCTATCCATCTATCTATCATTTTTTATTACCATGACCATTATTTTCATTGGAAAAGACAAATTTTCCTGTAATGTATGCATGTCCAATTTTTTACACTAAACAAATTAAATAAACTAAATTTAGTTGATCAAGATTACTTGAAAAACACCCAAATACAATGCTTTTTTTTTACCATCCCTAACATACACTAGGGATAACACATAACATCTCTGTCTCTCTCTCACACACACCACACCACACCACAGCCCTTTACATAAAGACATCAAATATCAAAGACGATTCATGAAAAACGTTAAAGATAAATACAAATCCGTTGTTATCTTTGAAGTGTTTTTCATTTGCTGTTCAGGGTCTTATATCAAGAGGGCATGAAAGAGGACTTGTGGGTCTTATGATTAGTGCAGTGCATAAAATAGATGAGATGACCCAATCTAAGTTGCACATAATAAGTATTAAAGTATTACATAATATTAATCCTGCCATTCCATTACTCGCTCAATCACTGCATGCCAACTAATTACTGAGACTCCACACACACACATACACACACACACACTTACATCAGGTCGCAGTAATCTTCTTAGTGCATCAACCAGACTGCTTCTGTACTGGTCAAGAAACAGACTAAGAGAAAAAGAGAAAGACAGAAAAACTAGAAAGATTAGAATGCATTGCAATGATAATGGCTCCAGATAAAGCAGCAGGCTATTTATTTTCACAGTTTGCGAATAAATCCACCAGCATGGCAAAAAAACTAGCTGATGCTCTTTTTTCCTCAGATGTGAACAAATCTTGTTTCAGTGGTGTGACAGCACTCAAATCAAAGGTAAAACACACACGCTAGCAGAGATGAACGATCAAGGAAGTATCAGGTGGCGTTAACATGATACAAACTAATACAAAGTTACATACAAATACATATATATAAATGCATACCATCAAAGAAATAACTTACATGTTAAAATACATTCAAATTGAAAAGTTATTTTACTATACTTTACTATATTTTACAATACTAGTTTTCACTGTATTTTTAGTGAGCATAAGAGATGTCTTTCAAAAACCTTTTAAAATGTTGAATTATTCCAAACCTTTGGCCGGCATATATACACACTGTTCTTTGATCTATGGAAAGTGAATTAAACAGCATTTTTAAAAGTATTATTTTGTCTTGACTGTCACTTTTGATCAGTTTAATGCATTTGCTGTACATATTCTTGTGCTTTTTACATATGCGTAGTACTACAGCTATTTTTATAAGCGCAAACCATGTTCCAGACTGAATTTACTTGTGACCTTTTTAGTCCAATCACCTCTGACCCTGCTAAAAAACACTGCTCTCGTTTGCTTGGGGTCAAAGGTCAGAGTTATGTTGATTAAACCTTATTTTTGTGATCTCACTGGCCACGTCTAGCGGTCACGAGTCTGATGGCTCGAAGAGTTTCATTAGCAGTTCAACTTTTGACCCTGTGTTTTGGGTGGAGTAGGTCAGTCCGGACAATAGAGGGTGAGTTTAGGGGTGAGAGGACAGGAATGTTCGACTGGCCACACTGGCCTTGACAGGGTACGTCAGACAAAAACCCCTTCCCACATTACCAATGGTACTTCCTCCTTTACTTCCATATATTGACCTGTCAGTGATGTAATACTTGCCTTTCATTCTTTCTCCTTTAATTAAATGTATTTTCTGTGTATTAAAAAGGTAATGACCATCCACAACAGCACCAGCATTATGTCAGAGTTTTGGGCTGCAAGATTTGCTTGTTGGTATTGTTGTCGTCATCGTCACCAGTGGTTAACTGACATTCACAATGGTGTGTCACACTGGTGAACAGTGCATTTACAATGCTATAAACAGAAGTGTGGTAGCATATTACAGAAGTACATAACTTACACAGCTCGCCAGGATAGCAAACACACCACAAATGGGGCATGTCTTGAAATATTTTTGGGTGTGTTAATCTTAAGGTGATGGTAGTAAGATTAAAATATGGGTGGGTTTTAATACTTGATCTGACCTAATCCAGAGTGCATTAACTTCATCCCCTCATTGAAACCTAAAGGATTGAGTGAAGGCAGATAAATGACTCATAAAAATCATACCATCAATAGGAGCTTACGCTAAGATGACTGACATTGATGGGACAGAAAACCTTACATATGTGGAGATGTTTTTACAGATATATACTAAATTTCCTTCATGCTCATGGACACTATGGCTAGTTTTTTAATAATTATTGTTTTGTTTTCATTTATTTATTTGTAGTCTAGGTTTATTTTTTAATGTACAAACTACATTTAAACATACATCTTAAGGTTTTTAGGATCATTTTAGTCGTGTGTCCAAAATTGTAACTGGAATCAATCTATCTATCTATTTATCTATCTATGCATATATTCACAGCCATTCTCATTGGTTTGTTTGTTTATTATTGATTCACTAATTCAGATAACTAAAATTGTATGAAGCTTCAAACCTTGAAATCACAAACAACTGTACCGAAATCAACACTGAAATGCTGTAAATGACGTGGCCAATTTATCTAAACGACATCTAAATAACTGGTAAATTATACCATTTTTCAGAGCTATTGGAAAAATTATTGACCAGTCCCATTTTTGTGCTATTTTTAAAGCACTTTTATGTGTTGCTTTATTTATTTATTTATTTTTCCTGTGTGCTATTGTAGTTAAAAGGGCTAAACAATACAGCTGGGCAGGTGACGCATAATATCATACTTAAGTGGTTAAGGTAATATATATATAAATCACATAATGAGCCGGCAAGCTCAACAAGGGGCAAGAGAAGGTGACAGAAAGAAATCAGCTAAATAACATAGTAACTTAATAAAAACTAAAATAAATAAACAAATAAATAAATGAATAAAAGTAAACATGCGCAAAAGCTTTTATCTTGAGTCCACAGACACAGGAAGCTTAGAGGAAGCTAAGATGCCAAGCTCTCTAAGTCAGTCATTCACTACGTAACAAGACCACTGCAAGAATTCACACCAGCCGCCTAAATTACACTGTGTGTGTTTGTGTAGTGAAGTGCTTCAATGTTCTGTGTGTGTATGTAAAGCAGTAGCATAAACCAGGGATCTCTAAGAGACATGCACTGTCACTTATGGTTCAGTTGCTGTGGGAGGTCACAAAACATTGCCGTTTCAAAGACAGCAATGTTGTAATAAATAAATATATAAAATATATTCAGTAATTGTTTCAATAATTGAATATATTCAATAATAAATATATAAAATATATTCAATAATTGTTCATCTAGTAAATTCAACACACACGATTACACAACAACTGTTTTCACCTAAGGGAATCTCATACACACATTGTATGGAGATTCACCTGTTAGTGTCAGGCACCCATCAGCATGGGAACTGCTGGAGGGATCAAGTGGAGGATACTGAATACTGATTCACTTATCGTGGAGCACGGCTGACTGCTTCTTCACATGCTTGACCCTAGCCTGGTGTTACTGCGATTCCAACTAAGGATCTAAGTGATGGGATACACCGTGTTTTTCCAGAGTGTCATTCCATAGCACTTTAAAACAGACTCCCTGCGAGCATGTTTACATGTAGTCACTATGGAAATGGAGCTGAACAGAAATGGGTTACACTTTAAACCTCCATTATAAAGTCATTAACACACATTATATAATGTATATGAAACTTAAAATATCAGTAGTTCATGTACATTCAATATCAATGCAAATGAAAACACTGAATAAATGTCTCAAGATATATCTATTTGACATACATTATCATACATTTGCAAAGTGAAGCTGGATGTCAGGCCAATCTAAGAATAGGGCTTCGTGATTTTTACACGTGAACAGCTCATGATCCGGTGTTTTCAGTGTATCAGAGCAGCATGGAACTCATTTCTGGATATACTGTGGGTTTGAGTTGCTTATAACTTGAATTTTGGAAATAAACATGTGCTAACCATCTTCTCAAACTTATAATGAGAAGTGCTTATAAACCGGCTGTTGTCAACAAAAGAGATGCTTTAAGGTATCTCTCTCTATGCAGTTTTATGCCAGAAAAGCTTGATGGACTCACATTTAAGATTGCATTAATTAAGAAAGTTTTTTTTATTTACAGTGAAATATTGCAAAATAATAATTTCTTATAATAATAATAATAATAATAATAATTATTATTATTATTATTTTATAGTCATATTGACATATAATCACAACATTTTGGCCAAATTGTGCAGCTCTACAAATAAGCACAGCCAACCTAGGGAGAAAAAACATAAATCGCTATCATAATTATTATCAAAAGAAAAAAAAGGCAATTATATTTTCCCCTTAAACTGTGCACCTAAGAGGTTCAAAATAACCAGAAACAAAACAATTGCATTAATTATTATTTCAGTACAGATTATTTTACAGACATTATTGTAATTCTCAAAGGTGCAGTCTCGACAACCTTTTTACAATTTATGACCATTTTTTAAATAAATATTCAATATAGTAAACAAGAAAATACTTTACTTTTTAAATCTGCTGTTGCAGTTACACTGATGTTTCATTTACACATTTCTTGTGCTGTAATGCTTAGAACTCAGAAACAAGGGCAAGCAGACTCCAAATCTAGTCATTTTAAAAACATAATAACAAAAGTACAAGACACTCTGAAACAGGGAAACAAGAAAAGACCTACTGCTTCACATGGGATTCTAAATCACACACCTGATGGACACTTGACTATACCATTAGGAAGCGCTGTCAATGGCAGAGAAGGTCACATGACAATGACAACATGGCGGAAGTAGTGTTTAGGCTTTCATTCATACTACACACCTACTATATATAGTATGCTTTTTTAACAGTTGCAAAGTTCCTCATTAAATGTAGTACCTATTTAGACAGTATATTTCCAAACACAGCTAAGCACACAGATGCAGACAATCAGGGAATAATGATAGGAGGAACAGGAAACAGGAACAAGACATAACTACAAACTAAAAGACTGCAAAACAAGAGCACACAGACCAGCAATAAATTATAGTGGTGCAACATATCACAAAACTCATGGTTCGGATCATGTTACGGATTTTGAGTCACGGATCGGATCAGCAAAAAAAGCTTACTTTAAAGGCACAATATGTAAGATTTTTTTATTAAAATATCCAAAAACCCCTAGAACAGTGTTATATATTTTGCTGACTTGTGTACTTACATTATCCCAAATGTTTCGAAGAATGTTTAAATCCAGAGAAATAAGCAATTTTAACTAGTGACACGGACCGTGTCATTCTGTCGCCTGCCAATGACGTCATAACCCCTCGATTTCCGGTTTTGTCACGCTCGTTCAGCGCCTCGTTTCGCTTCGACGGCTTTCAGCCTCACCCTGCTTCATTCTACTAGGTTAATAAATCATTAGCTCATCCATGAACATGATTTCTGCCCGAGTCCCGTCGGATTGCATCGGCTGTGGAGATGAAGACGACAGTGTTAGAACGAGCCGTTTTAGGAGGGTGTGGTTAACTCTTAACTTTTATAAAGAATATCTCTTTGGTTTTGAGACTTTAGTGTTTGCAACTTTACAGATCTTCTTTATGCACCAAGAGCTTGTAACACTCCAAAGAGAAAGGAAAAATTGAAATCGCATCATATGACCCCTTTAAGACATAACCGACTGTGTTTACTAGAATACTTGCCAAAACAGGTATTTTAACATAACTTTGTGTGTATGTGAAAGAGGAATCAATTCGCTGTTCACGCGGTGTCTCTCTCTCTGCGTGTGCGCGCTTCTGGTGTGTGCGGCAGCGGCTGAGCGCACAGAAAACAGTGCGCAAGTTAAAATTTCTTGAATGTGTAAACTGGCAAGACAAAACATGTGCAAATGATAATCTGCGAATCACATGCATGCCGAACCGTGCAGCCTGATCCGTACGGATCACAGATCATCTACGATCCGTTGCACCCCTAATAAATTACATATGCAATATTAAACAGGCCCATGTGAAAGAGACACATTAAAACTTCAAAGCATATCAGTCTTTTACCTTCTCAGCAGTGAGGAAATATCGCTTTAAACAAAGCTTCACAAGTCAAGTAAAGAGCTGTGGGCCTTGAGTGCTAATTTAATGCTTTTGTCAACTCTTAGCGTAGCTACAAAACATAGTTTTCAGACAAGAATAGCATTGTCTTGTGAAGACAAAGACGAGGTGAAACAGAGGGGAGAGGGTTCTTTTGGAAGAACCTTTTGCTATCATAGCTGAGACTGCTTCTCTATCTCTATCTCTCTCTTCTCCTAGCCAGAGCGCCGCTGCATTACATCCTGCCTTTCTTGACGATTGTCTGAAAGACTATAATTAATCGGAGCAGAAGTGTGGCTGTTGACCTTTTCGCAGGTGATCGTCAGCATGGCTATGTTCGTTAATCGCCGAGCGATCACTCTCCTGAAGACGGCAATTACAGATGAGTTACCAGTGCAAGCAACGGGGGGACAGCCAACGCGGCATGATTCATAGTCACGTACCTTCTTCCACTCTCTCTCTCTTCATACACAGACACACACACACACACACGTAGTATCTCCTTACTACACACAAATCAATCTCATGCTGGCCCTCTGCTGCACATTTTACCTGCGTATTAGCTGCCATTTGTCTGACATTAGAATAATAGTAGGCTGTACCAGGCTTTAGTGATCATCGCCAGAGAACACACAGGTATCATTATACCCCGCCTCCATCAGCCTCACCACTTTGTGCTAGATAGAGACAATGCCAAAGAACATCCTGTTTAGAGCTGGGCTTATAACAATGTAATAACAACGTAATAAACTATAATAGTGTTAAGAAAAAAGTTGATAGGGAAAATGTGTATGATTTGAAAATGTCTATAATTAGAGTACTAATTAGGGTTATTATAACATGCAATGAGAGCAGGAATCAGAATCAGAGAATTAGACATGAATAAACGATCCAATACAATCGGTACCAATACATCTCGCTAATAATCTTCTGTATTCATTGGCCATTTTCTGTGCATTTAATGTGTAGATTTAATATAAATGCATAAAATATTGGCAAACATTACATTACTGGAACACAATTTAAATTGTAAAATGTATTAAAGGGGCAGTTCATCACAAAATGAATTTACTGTCCCTCATATATCATTCTAAACCTGTATGACATTTTCTTCTGAATAAAAGAAATAAGATATTTAGAAGATTGTTTCAACTTTTTTTCTGACTGTATAATGAAAGTCAGTGGGCTCATAAACAACATCGGAGCACATTCACTTTATATAGAGAATTATACAGAAGAAATAAAGTCATACAGGTTTGCAGCGCCTTGAGTGAGCAAATGATGACAGAATTTTCAATTTTGGGTGAACTATCCCTTTAACAACTACATGACCATGTAAATAAAGAGAACTGTTCATCTTTTTCCCAAGCTATCCAACATAGCATTCAAGCAACATTAAATTTTCTTGCATTACATAATGAAGTCTGAATGTACCAGTTGTAAAATTGACATCCGAATGATTGTAAAAGACTAGCGTAATACACACACAACATCGCATTTACACAGACACACAAAAGAGAGAAAAAAAAACAATGGTTCCACATGTTCAGGGCCTGGCTAATTGAAATGTTTGTATTGCTCCACAATCTCTCTCTCACTCTCTTTCTTTCCTTGCACAGGCATAATTATTTGCAATTTGCCTAAGACATCCATTTGCTGGGACGCCAAGCATGAAAAAGAGGCAATTTCTGAAAAATGGAAATGCCTGGCGGAGCTGGTGGAGGGGAAATAATGCAGTGCCATCCGCGAGCTGATGGCTGCCATCTGATAAGTGTTACGGGCGCAGGAATATTAATGCCACATCACCGGGACACAAGGTGCACACTTTTATTGAGGGTGTAGACATATTGTGGCTGGAGATGCTAGTAAAGTGTGAGATATGATATTTATTTTGTAATAGCTGTAAGAACGGCCAGTTTGGACAGATGTAGAGAATCTCTTCGCTTGCTCAGAATTGTATAGCATATAATCTGTTTTGGAGGTGTCGCGCAACAATTGTGTACAGGTGTCATGTTTTGGGTGACGGTCGATCTCTGAAGAAGTGACAGTTCAACAAAAGGATCAACCTACCAGTCAGCGCACATCACCACGTCAAAGCGACCCTCCAGAGCGGACACATCGGCCTCATTGTCCCATCTCACCACCCTAAAAGAGGACAGAACCAGGATGATAGCTGCTGTGTCATCAACCCTGTTGCGCAATTTATCGTTCACTCCCATAATCCCTGACAATGCTGCGTCCAGAGACATTTCACACACCTGACACTCGCTTTATTTGCGCCGTTGTCTGGCGGCGATCGTCTTCTCTCTTTTCCTTAAGTGCTAGGGCCGGTTTCCAGGCAAGCAAATCTGATTATTAATTAGCCATTATTAACAGTCAGTAAACAAAAATTACGTCTTGTGGAAATACAATCTCCTCTCTCAGCGGGGGTCTGCGCTGCTTATTCACTGACTTGAGAAAGCGATTCCACCCCCCCTACCTCAACCAATCACACGCGACCTTCACCCCACTCAAACCGCGCGCTCTGACAGGAAGCCTAATCTCTAAAGAAAACAATCAAAGTAATGCAGGCTAATTATACGTTTACTCTTTCACTTCATCAGCCCAGTGTAAATACACAGGGAGGGGGAAGTGTGCAGAGCAAGAGAGAGGAGAGGAGACGAGAGGGGGAGAGAGTGGTTAGATCACTGAGTGCCAAAATTACTTTTTAGGTGATAATGCATTTGCGTGATGGTGCGCACAGTGGATGAGCTGTGTTTTGGCAAATGTGAGAGAGTGTGTGTGTTTGAGTTTTCTAGATGAGGGCATTCAATCACGGAGAGTGTCTCATCATCGCTCTGCCTGGATACATCTCGGCACGTTAGAGAGCGTAGCGCTCGCTCCGCGGGCTGCGGATACCTCGTTACTGGGCCAACTGGGTTCAGGGAGTGACACGGAGCCTTGCAACCTCATTTTTGCCTACTTATTGACACTATTATGTCCCGAACACAAGTGCCGTAAATGCCACTTTACCCAAACACACTTTTCTATACTTCATGGCATGCTCGACTACGCGAAGCTTCAGCGAATTATAACACTTGAATTTGTATTGACATAAGAGATGGACTTCATATGGCTGTAATGTAAAAGCAGTATTAGTGCTCTGTCTTTCATTATCAGAGATGTTGGGAGGCGTATGAGTGATTACCTGCTGGACACATTGGTAGACAGGAAGAGCCCTTCTCGTCTGTTCCTCTCGATTACACTGCGCACATCTGATGCTTTTTGTCAAGAAATGCAACACTGTTTTGTAATTAATAAGAGCAGGACAGTTAAACATTAACTCCATGAAGACAGATGTATCCACTAGCATGTCAAGCAAGTTTGAACAGACCTACACTTTTCCCATATTTTGTAATAATAGTGAAGGCATCACAACAAGTCATGTCCTGGATGCTGATTGGCCAACGCTACTATCCTGGAATGGTTTTTAAATACTGAAGGACTTGAGTATTGTTAGACACTTGGTGGTTTCTTTTTCTTCACAATTGTATCCAACTAATCTAAATAGATAGACAGACAGACAGACAGACAGACCGATAGTGTGACAGGAATAATATGAGGTGGGAGAGAAAATTATCTTTCAATGCTTTTGCAAGTGAACGCAAAGTTTCTCAAAGGAATGCAATATTCAGTTAAATATAAAATAATTTGGTATTTTACTTATGTTCGTTTGTAACTGACAAATGAGGAATACTACAAAAAGCTAATCAAGCTTCAGAATACAGAAAAGTTTATAAAAAAAATGAGCCACTTTAGAGATGTAGGTGAGACACTGCTGAACAACAGCAAGACCATTTTCTTGATTCCTCTGATCAAGAGCCTATTACACAGAGCTGATTTCTTGTTTAACCATGTTACAGAACGCTATTATGTCAGGCCTTTTCAAATGATGTCAACCCACAGAGTCCGTTTGCTTCCGTAACAGCCGTCTCTCTCCACACCTCATCCTCAGATTACCACTGAGCTCAAAACCAACTCATGCAAAGCATCACCATAGGTAATCAATAGGGAGGCTTTTAACCTGCGGCCATCTCCTCAGATGGGCCTCCACCCTTTGTGGTTATACTGCGGGATTGATGTCAGCGCATCTATGAATAGACCCTTCGACAGTTTTAAACTAATTCAATTACGATTTCTCGCTTTTTCTGCCCCGCTTTCTTTCTCGCTCCATGGAAAACAACCGTAGCAAATCCAATCTATAGCACAGGGATGGAGGGCAAATCCCTCGATGAAAGAGGGGAGGGGGGCTGGGTGCGCACGTTACACTGGTGAGATCCGCTGCTAAGGAGAGAGAGTGGAAAGCTTACAGTGTAATCCCATCAGGAAAAGACCACTGGGGGAGAGGTCAGCACTGGCGTCTCTCTCATTCTCTTTTAACAGCGCCCAGAGACACAATTTTGATCAAAAATGGACTTCCTGTGTAACACCTGTGCATATATTGTCTCCAAGTTTCAGGACTGCTGCTTAATAGAGTTTGTAAAGCTCCAGAGAGCAGCAGCTATTAAAGAACATAATCAGTGTGTGAGAAGTGAAATTTAGCAGTTAACAGTAGGGTCTCTTGATTACACATGCACGGCTTTAATAGGAGCTCAGCCAGTCTTTTGAACATGCAGACTGAGATCAGGAACTGAGTCATGAATCCACTCAGCACTTTCTGATACACTTTATTCATTCCCACTTGGGCTCATTGGACTGATTTTTTTATGAAGTGTGCAGAGAGTGTGTGTGTTCATGTAGTAACACGTCTAATCGGTCATATTTGGTATAGGAAGTAACACTACTTGGAGTAACATCTAATTGTCCAGCAATAACACACAAGTACTCACACAAAAGTAATTGAAATGTACAAAAATTAAAATATTCCAAAAATGACAAATCATGGCCTGTTTAGCAGGAGCTTCTGTAACCTTAAGAGTCCAATTGTTTGGTGTTTTAAGAGCAAGTGTCTATCATTGTGACTGCGTACACAAAGCATGGCAAGACTTCATCAGCGAAAAAGAATAGTGGGCGAAACCGAAAATTAATGATAGGGACTATCAACACAAAGAAGGATTGTGTCCAAACAACACAGAAAAACTGTTGCAAAAGTGACAGCAAATCTCAATATTCACCTTGAAGATCTTGTTTCCATAAAAGACCATCACAGAATCACAGAGAACTTCATAAAGCCAACATCCATGAAAGAGCTGCAACTGATAAACCTCTAATTACAGATACCAATGCTAAAAGGCAACAAACATGGTGTTAAGATCATGAAACCAGGACAGTTGGAGCACCCAGATTGAAGGGATAGTTCACCCAAAAATGAAAATTCTGTCATTAATTACTCACCCTCATGTCGTTCCAAACCCGTAAGACCTACGTTCATCTTCAGAACACAAATTATTTTTGATGAAATCCGAGAGCTTTCTGACCTTGCATTGACAACAACAGAACTACCATGTTCAAGGCCCAGAAAGGTAGTAAGGACATTGTTAAAATAGTCCATGTGACATCAGTGGTTCAACCCTAATTTTATGAGGCTACGAGAATACTTTTTGTCTGCAAAGAAAACTAAAATAACGACTATGTTCAACGTTTTTTTTCTTTTCTAGGGTCTTTAATACGTTCCTGTGCCTTGACCGTGGTAGTTTCCTTGTTGTCTATGGAGGGTCAGAAAGCTCTCGGATTTCATCAAAAATATCTTAATTATTTTTTTCCGAAAATGAATTAAGGTTTTACTGGTTTGGAACGACATGAGGATGAGTGACTAATTCTGTAATTAATGGCAGAATTTTAATTTTTAGGTGAACTATCCCTTTAACTTCAATATCTGCCCTGCATCTCAATCACCTGACTTAATGTCAAATCACTGTGGGCAATTTTTGGAGAGAAAAGTAAGAAAAAGATTCCCTCCTCCAACATCTACAGCAATTGACAGATAACTGAACATTCAACTAGAGACTGTTCAAACATTGTGTTAATCTATTCTAAGGCTGAAAGCTGTATTAAAATCAATGGTGGTAAAACACCTTATTCTGTCCAAATAATTCTGTTCACATTATTTTGTCCAACCCCGTACACTATTTAACTATACATATATAAAGCTATATAGTTAAGTTTTTAAAAATTAAACAAAGGTCAAACCTAAATGGTGAAAGCAGAAATTGCTTTACAGACCAGATTCGAAAATGTAAGGTTCTATATGGAGCTATACAGGACAGGTACAGGAAAGGAACACAGATAAAAAAACAAAAAAACAACTGTGTGTGTATGTTTCGGGTGTCAGCTGGATGATTTGCCTCACATTCAGATATGTCGAGGGGGGTGTGAGTGTGTGTGTGTGTGTGTGTGTATTCTTTGACAGAGTGCACATTAAGAATGGCTGACTGTGTGTGTGTGTGTGAGGTGGAAGTGAGAGGAATATCTGAGGTAAATACGGGTTAAATACACAGCAAGGTTTTCTTTTCTGTGCTACGCTCTCGAAGTCTGAAAACATACACACCAAACACATAGCTGTCAGCACTCCAACAGAACAAAGTGATGTTTGGATTGGTTCAGAAACACGCAAGCTCTGTTCCAAAACCAAGTGAGCTGCCTCTGTAGGGAGAGTATTGTTTAGGTATCAATTTAAAACGTGAAGGCTGTTCCAAAATGTATAGGCAACATAATTATGCTGCCTTTTCCTGTGCACTTTATTTACAGATCCTGCCTATGTATGTTGTTCCAGATCAGTCACTTATGAGGTTCCATTTCAGTTCAGACGCTGCCTTAGAAGGCAACTGCCTGTGTAGGGAATGGGCAGCTTACTACGTAGGTATTGGAACAGAGCTACATACCAGTCCAAAATTCAAGGATACTTTGAATAGCCTTCTCGTTGCCATCAGATAGCAGCACTTCCTTCACATCAGCACAAACTGCAATCTGCAGGAAAGGAGAAAAAATAATAAACAAATAAATAAATACATAAATAAAACAAAAGCAAGACATCCTCAGCACACTGTTTGCAAGCAGTCATATCTGAAGAGCGCTGATTTTTAAAGCCCTACTCCAAAATGACCACCCCTCGCTCTTTCTCCCCTGCTCCCTCTCATTCATTGCTGTCTGTCTCAGCCGTTTTTTTTTTTTCATTTTACGTCTGCATTATTTTAATCATTCAATCAAATCAGTCAATACTTTTATCATTCCCGGTGGCTGGGAGCCCTCTATCTTGCTATCACTCTGTTGGGTAATTGCATTGTGACAGGGGATGATGGTGAGCGCCGAGCCTTTCATTTGCAGTGTGGCGTTTATCAGGCGGGGCCATCGCGCTCTGCTGTCACTCCTTACTCGGCTCGCGAGGCCTGCCTGATGCCCTTCATATAACTTTGTATTGCGAAGCTTCTGCCTTTGTGCCGCTCCACTGTCAGCTCTTTCTGTCCTCTTTTTATACAGTCTTTTCATTCGAGTAGTCGTCTTTATCAGGGGCACTGTGTAACAGTTGTTTGGAGAGGCGCAGTGGGCAGAAGCAGGGAGTGTGTGTGTGCGTTTGTAAAAGTGCTTGCAAGGTTTTATATTTGTGCTTTTGAATAATGCGATTTCGAATTTCGGACATTTCTCAAACACAGGAAGCAAAATTAACTCTTTGACACTACTGCAGAGTGCATTTTAAAAATGTAATGTTTAATGTTATATTTCAATATTTCTTAAAGACATGAAACTGTATTTTAATAATTATTTTTTTTAATTTACTTTTTATTATTGTTGTCCTTATGAGAATGGGAGCAGTTTAGTTCAGTTTAGTGGGATAATTCTTAAGGAATATTATCATGTGCTATAGAGTACTGTTCTTTCAAGAAATGAATACTTTTATTCAGCAAGGATAAATTAAATTAATCAAAAGTCACAGTAAAGTAACATTTATAATGTTACAAAAATTATTTTGAACTTTCTAATTATTAGTTGTTTTTTTTAATGTTTCTTAAGCATATTAGGATGATTTCTAAAGGATCATGTGACACTGAAGACTGGAGTAATGGCTGCTGAAAACTATAGGAATAAATTATACTTTAAAATATATTAAAATACAAAACAGTTATTTTAAATTGTGTTAATATCTCGCAATATTAGTGCTGAACTGTATTCTATCAAATAAATTCTGCATTCAAATGTTTTGATGGTAAAATGTGGCGAATATTCCACGTCATCACAGAGAAAACCAGCATCTTAGATACATTTTCCCAGGTAAAACAAATTGCAACATAATTTCTTTTTTTTTTGGCAGACATTTTTAATGTCTTTCATTTGAAATGCTCAAGTCAAACAAAAAGGGGTACATGCACTGCACAATCATCTGTACAGAGTGATGTAGTGTTTTTGCCCCGTGGGCAAGAGTCAAGTCACGAGGCCCCGCACCACCAGCTAGCCATATGGGCATCAAGACCTGCAGGAAACCAACCAGTCACCCAAGAAAAACATGGATGGCACTGCCAAAACCACAGCACTCCAGGGCACAGGACAGAAGAGAGAAGCTATTTGTCCTTGCAAAGGACTTAAATAAACACAAGCATCAAGAAGCACCAAGTCAGACCTGAGAAAAGGTGGAATGCAAGTAAAAAAATAAAAAAAAAAGGGACGAAATCGAGTTTGGGGGTCTATAATTTGAAACGCTCAAGTCAAACAAAAAGGTTACATGCACTGACAAAATGAGACAATACAGCAGAATCATCTCTACAGAGTGATGTAGTGTTTTTTGCCCTGTGGGCAAGAGTCCCACACCACCAGCTAGCCATATGGGCATCAAGACCTGCAGGAAACCAACCAGTCACCCAAGAAAAACATGGATGGCACTGCCAAAACCACAGCACTCCAGGGCACAGGACAGAAGAGAGAAGCTATTTGTCCTTGCAAAGGACTTAAATAAACACAAGCATCAAGAAGCACTAAGTCAGACCTGAGAAGAGGAATGCGAGTTAAAAAAAAAAGGTCGAGTGGGGGGATGAGGAGGGCGATCCACTGGCGGTCCGTAATGTCACAACACGGGGGTATTGAGTGGAGAGATATGGGAAGGCTGGTCTTGTGAAGGCGAAATCGATAACATGTTAAGCCTGTCCATCTGGAGAGGCTACTACAAACTACTATACACCATACACAGCCAAAGCCTAAGTCACTGATGTGTGTGTGTGTGTGTGTGTGTGTGTGTGACCAAGACAGAAAGTGTTTGCATATGCAAGCCCCTGTGTTTAAACGCTTTTGATGAAGTTAGCCCATTGGGCCACGTGTGTTTATGGTCACTGAGGTAGAAATGTCAATGTGCGCTGGCCGATTTCATGTTGCTTACAATATGCCCATGTTAGATTACCCATGCTGATGCAAATTGCCCATTTGCCTGTGACTGTCTGTCTGTGTGAGCACTGTCTGTAATTTTTGCATTCACTTTTGACTTACCATGAGCCCCGCAAGACACGTCATCCCTCCACCCAGCTCACACACCGCCGAGCCCCTGTGAGACAGAGAGACACGGAGGGGTTTGATGCGCCGTTTAGCGTTAACATTGAAGTACATGAGTATGAGAGTGACATTTTTTTTTAGCTCAAATGAGACGAAAACAGGAGGATGAGAGTGATAAAGACAGACAGAGAGAGAGATGGCTGTTGTGTCTTGACAATAACGCTAATTAACTTGCCCGTGTAGAGGGATGCCATTGATTGGAATGCTATTCCACTGGGCTCATTGATCTCAACCTTCCTCTCTCTCCTTCTCTCTGCATGCGAGCGGGTGTATATGCGTTAACAAAAG